CCCCCTCCCCCCACTATCCACTTTCCACAAAGAAAAGAATATGAATGTGTGCGAAAAAAAGAGCATAAAAAGTGAATAATAAATAGGCTAATCAGATAAATGGAAGTGTATCAGGTTGTGTTTTAAAGCAGTCTTATACGTTTTATCCGCATTCAAAGAACGATCACGTGAAGGGGAACCGGAAGTCGGATGCTTTTTTTTCCAAGAAAATGCCTGTTTCCCAGAACCTTTACGGAAACCGGAAGACCGTATCCGGATTTGCCGAGATCTCTCCGAACTTTATGGAAATTAATTTATCTTTGTTCTGATTGGATAACGAATGGTGTCCGGATATATACCCGGAACGGAATCTGATATTTTTTCCAAGAAATGGAGGATGTTTGTATTAGTTTCTCGGTATATTTGAAATCAAAAGGGAACGTTCTTCCCGAGTGGACTTATATAACTTCATGCTCTAAAACGGAAAGGAGAAACGATTGACTAGAGATCTTGTACTCCAAGAAACGTCAAATTTAGCTCGTACAAACGAAAGAGAACTTCTTCAGGATGACTTTGATTGAACAAATTCAACAGCTGTCACTCCATGAACAAACTCAACTGATGCAAGATTTACATGCAAAATACCCCGACTCTCTTGAGCTAACTAATGCTTACACCCAGTTGATAGTGTGGATTCAAGAACAGCCATGGTAAGATTGATTAAAACATGAACTAGCTAGATACTTACAGACTTTCGATTTCACTCTGTTTTGCAATAAGTTTTAATGATTGTGGCGTAGAACTCCATATTGTACAAAGCACAATATTTGATGCACATGGATTTTATGCAAATGGATGATCAAAAGATGTGTTTAGGTCATAAGCATAATGCATTATCTAGTAAAAAATCACATGCTGGTATTGTAAAAAGCTTTGCTATGGGCTTAATAAAAATAATTGCATACAAATTATTAACAATAATGAGGTAAATGACATTATAGGCTAATTACTTTTCAAGAGTCTATTAAAACCTACTACTATTCTTCCTAATAGACTGAGACAGTTGTGATATTCTTTTATCACCTTCGTGGCGTCTGTTATCTTAACCACAAAGAAATCGTCCATGTGATGCCAATATTTGTTGTACCACATGGACAGTGGACACGTTTTTTACACCACGTGATTGAAGTGCAGTCAAGTTTTTATCACATGGCGTAAAAAACTTACAGCAGCCTCAGCCTACTGAGAAGACTAGTATTATCGGTCAAATGAATGGATAAAAATTTTTTTCATTAGTTTGAAAATGAGAGTTAGCTGCCCAATGCTTTTGCTTTCAAAACCAGCACTTATTGTTACTAGTGGTCTATATATCACTACTAATAGACCACTGTAGCTCAACCAATAAGAGAGCAGGATTTATAGTAGATTTAGAGTAAGCTGAATAATCTATAAATTTCATACCCTACTTTAGCTCTAGCTTCTCACAGTGATTCAGCCGCTGTAAGCATAATAGTTTTTGATGGGAATAAATAGGCAGAGAGCAGATATTGCATAAATAAGAATGGTCTCCCTCTCTTCCTTCCAATTTCATAATCATACCCACCCCAGGCCTTTATTTATGTGGATAAGAGTTGTCTCACGGACACTGAGACAGCCCTCTCTCCCCAGTTACCTTGGGCAAGCTAATTTTTCATAAATTTCTTTGGAAAATTCTGGCTAACTGTTTACCCCGGCTGTTTACATTATGAAGAATTAAACTTGTCTCGGTTAAGTAGCATAACCTGGGGACAAGACATCTCATCTCAACTATGGTATGGTAAGGTTCCCTGAGAGGTGTGAGGATTTAAGACAACTTTTTCTAATATAAACACTTTTAAGTATTAAAACTCACGTACTGGGGGCAAGACAGCTCAAACATTAAAAAAGATGTGCACACACTAATTAATATATAAACTGGCCTAGAGAAAATTTCCAATGTTTGGGCTTTCAGTGTCCTTGAGATCCAAGTTTTTACTGGATAAGTAAAACTCCATGTAAACACTCTGTAAAGTTGTCTCATGGGAAGGGCTATTCTCTGCTCCCCGAGAGAACTGTTCTCCACATAAATAGAGCCTTGTGCAATTTAAAAATATTGAAATAATTAACATTACCTCAGCATCCTAACTGTTGGCAAATTTTGTTTTTCATTACAACCCATCAAAGGAGTAGTGGTGACATAAGAGAGCTTAAAAACACGCGCGGGCTATTTTTGGTTTGGCTATTTTTTTGCTTTTTACTCCCATGAGTCATCAACATGGGTAAGTTGATGATGCATGGGAGTAGGGTAAAGCAATTAGTTTAAACTGCCTCTGGTTACTAAAAATAGCCCAACCGGGAATTTACATGGCGCACACATTATTAAGAAGTTTCCCTCTCTTATTTACACTCTCGATCTTGATAGACCCTAATGCTAATGTACTGTAACTTGATTGACATATATTGTGGTAACACATTTTTTGTTTAGGGAACAGGCCTGTGACCCAAATAATCCTGATCATTGCATAAAAGCAAAAGCTTTGATGGATGCAGCAAATGCACAGGTATATATAATGTTGCATTTCCAAGTTGTGAGACCTTAGTATAGCTACATTAATTTATAATGGTAGTTTTCTTTCTTCTACTGCATGCGCAGCATCGTCCATCGCCACCACTGGACACTATTTCTGCTGCTAACGAGCTCATTAAAGTTTCTGAACATGCAAGGAACATTGGTGTAGTTTTCGATAGGACTCTAAGTTTAGCTAAACAAGTTACTGCAGTTTGCCAGTCTGCTTTTTACCATATTAGGAACATAGCACGCGTTAGAAGGTATTTAAGCTATGACACCACAAAAATCCTAGTTCATGCATTTGTGACTTCGAAGATAGATCATTGTGATTCTTTATTGTTTGGCTTACCCAAACACCTTGTGCAACGCTTACAATATGCTCTTAATGCTGCCGCTAGGCTTATTAGTCTTTCACGCAAATCAGATCATATTACACCAGTATTGATGGAGCTGCATTGGCTCCCAGTTGAACAGCGTATTAAGTATAAGATCCTTCTTTTTGTCTTTAAGGCAGTGAATGGTRTTGCGCCAACTTATCTTAGTGATTTAGTGTGTCCTTACGTTCCATCTCGCACATTGC